CATTTTGAATTTTGAAAATTTGTTGTCTAATTTGTGATCAGCAACACCAAATACATTTTTGATTGTCTTTTTAGGGTTCCGTACACCTACGGTGTACTGACGGAACCCTATTGGTGAGACTCTTGTGTCCGTAGCCAAATCGTGTCCCCCACTAGCGGCTAAACTATTTGGAATTGTGATATCGACCGCAACGATCCACTAAATTCTTATACTGTAGCATCGTAAAGCATTGATAAATGCTGTAAAACCATTGTAAACCATTGAACTAATACAATATTATAAACTAAATAAATAAGATATTTTAATAAAATCAAATAATTCTTAAAATTTTATTGTTGTAATAATGACATTGTTATTGCAACAATTTTATTAAAAACTTTTTATAGTAATGTCATTATTAAAATAATTATTCTTAAATAATTATTTTTTTTATTCATAAATTTTAATTATTATTATTAATTACTGTTATTAATTCTTTAAAATTTTTAAGAAAAATATTATTCTAATATTCAAATACTTGAGGAGGTTGTTTACAGGTATGCAGACCTTCAGAAAAAATATTTAATTAACATTAAAAAATTTTTTAATATTATTGTTGTTCGTATCTTCAGGAAGAACAAATATCAATTTTCAAGAAAAAAATTTGAAACTTACAAAAATTGTTTATTTAGTCATTTTGCATATGATCAAAGCTTTCTTCATATTAAAAGGTTTATCTTTTTAAAAACTGATTCGATTTAAGTCAGTGATGGCTTATTTTCTTTAGAAAATAGTTCTCTATAACTTGACCGCTCAGATTTATAAAGAAATACACTGTTTTAAAAATATGCTTATTCGTTTAAAAAAAGTGATTCAATTTGAAAAAAAATTTTTAAACAAATAAGCATATTTTCAAAACGGTGTATTTGTTTATAAATCTGAGCGGTCAAGTTATAGAGAACAATTTTCTGAAGAAAATAAGCCATCACTGACTTAAATTGAATCAGTTTTGAAAAAGTTTAACATTTTAATATGAAGAAAACTTTGATCATATGCAAAATGACTAAATAAACAATTTTTGTAAGTTTCAAATTTTTTTCTTGAAAATTGATATTTGTTCTTCCAGAAGATACGAATAACAATAATATTAAAAAATTCTTTAATGTCAATTCAATATTTTTCCTTAAGGTCTGCATACCTGTAAACAACCTAGTAAATGCATTCCAAGCAAATCTAAAGCGAATAAAAAATTGACCAAATAATGTAAAATAAAGATTATAAAAATTGAAAATTCAGCGAAATAGAATTAATTATTAATCACAGATTACAGCAAAAACGACAATTTTAATTAATTATATATGTTATTATTTTTAAATATAAAAATTATTTTAATTGTAAAAACGTCACAAAAATTTTTGTCGAATAAAACATAATTATATGCTTTGACAACTGAAATTATAATTAAGTAAAAAAATGGGAAGTTAAAAAATTAGTATATCACAATCTTATCAAATGTCCTCGATGTGAACATATGGCATGTCAGTGACATTCCTGGTCCAAAAAAAGTAAAATCGGAAATTTAATGCTCTCACCCCCTAGGATTGTTCTATATGGAGAAAAAAAATACCCCTATTTTTTTTAAATAAAAAAATATTTAGAGGTCGCTCAAAGCGCTAAAAGTTTTCCATGTAAAATGCATGGGAAAAAACACTTTTTCGTAGAATTGGTATAGAATCCTTGAAAATTAATATTTTTCATTCAGCAAACTCTATTTCTCTTCAGAAGACTTCAAAGAATAGTACTAAATTATTTATTTAATCATTTTTTTAAATTAACTATTTTTTATAGTACCCCAAAAAAACCCCATAATTGCTAATTTGTTTAAACAAATTATTATTGTTTATTTACAACTTTCTATCAAATTGAGCTAAAGAGTTTCGATTTTTTCTCTATTTTGCAACTTTTCAGGCCGAATGTAACCAGTCACTATCAACTAACTAAGAATATTAATTTTACCAATTGTTTAAACAAATTACTATTGATTAATTTTATCTTTTTATCAAAATGAGCTACAGAGTTGCAAAATTGAGAAAAAAATCGAAACTTTTTGCTCAATGTTAGAGCCGAATTTGAAAAATTAAATAAATTTAATTTTATATTATCAAATTTTTAAATAGACTTCAATTAAACGTGTCCTTCGGACGAAAATCGTATAAGTAGTGGATTCTTCCCTCTTCTTGGTTATTAGTTCAACCAAGGGGTGAGAATCCTATATTTTGAATTTAGAGAAGATAGGTTAATTGGACAGGATTTTTAAATTAAAAGGCAAAAATTAAAGATAAAAACAAACAATGATATATTTGACCCAAAAATCCCTAATACAAATATTCTAATTTTTGTTAAAAATGTGTAAAAAGAGTAGAAGTGTATATGTGTATATGTGTGTGATTGAGTTTCAGAAAATGTGATATGAAATGTGATATTTTTTACTCACTGTTTAGAAATTCTACTTTGCAACTTTAATCCAATTTGATGAGAGTTTCTTCTCTCTGTTTTCTCCTGACATTAACTTCCGAAATTGATGAAATACCAATTCTAGGGTCACTAGAATGATATTTGCTTAACTCACTTTTTTTTTATTCCTTTTTGAAGTACACAAAAATTTGAAGACCGAACCTCGAAAAGGAAGGTTGTCTTTAAAGGTATATTTAAATTGATATTCCCTTAATTCTTTTAATGAAAATAACTTTTAGTTTATTTTGTTGAATTTAGACTTTTACAATAAGCTCTTTTAATTCTTCTATTTCTTTTATATTCCTTTCAATAAATTTATTTTTCAATTCACTTTATTTTTAATATCCTCTTTTAATTATTTTATTCTTTTTCTCGTCACTTTTTATTATTTTTCAATAAAACTTTTAAATCCAACCTTTCTTTTATCTTTATTTTTTTTATATTTCTATTCTCAATTAAAATTCACTTATTCTTCCCAAACTTTTATTGATTTTCTCGATTTTATTTAAAGGGATTATCTTTTCCCGAACTTCACTTTTTTTTAAAACACGGCTCACAGGCCGGACTTAGGAATTTTCCAGGCTAAAGATTGCCGGCTTAAAAAAAACAACAGGTATCGACGACCTGCAACTAATTACTGCCTTGATTTCCCCGTGTCGGTCAATTTTATTGAACGACGATTTAGTGGGGAAATCGTAAGCAAAGTTCATTGCACTCGACTGTTGTCAAGTCAATTTCTGCAACCTTGCAGATTTAGGCAGTGGTATGATCGAAGTTCAATGACTTGGATACACCACTCCTTATATTAAGGAATTTGGTTTCGACAACTCCCTGTGATTTCCCAAGAAAGTCAACAAACTGTTTGCCAATAAAAAGGGAATTTGCCGAGAAATAGTGTAACTTATATTTAAGGTTCTTCACCTCAGAATTGTGAAATTCAGGGGAATAATAAATTGAATAGAATTGTTTATAATTTTAGGATTAAATCATTATTTAAATAAACTGCTTAAGATCACATTGGATAAAAATGTCAAAGATAAGAATGTCTTTTAGTGAATTTACAAAGGGTTGTTCTTTTTGTAAGTGTTTTTGTGATGTTATCTACAAAATTTCGTATCATGCGAAATGTTGTTTGTGATTATGTTTCATGACGTATTTTAAATGATTATTTTTAAATATAAAAGGTTACGGAGTTCGGCCGTAACAAATGCCCCCCTTTTATTAGGCTGACGTCCCTTGTCAGCTGCTATGAATGCGTGTAGTGGTCCAATGTGATATCCTTGGAGTGTAATGTTGTTGGATAACTCTTTCGAGTTTTACAAAATTTTAATCCTCTTGTTTTACATAAATTGTTGCTGTAAGGTAAGTGCATTTATTAAAGTTAGGGAAAGAAAAAAAAATGAAATAAATTCCCTTATATATAAAAAAAAATATGAGAAAAAAAATATTCTCTATATATGAGCTGTTATTTAAGAGTAAAAACGCTGAATTTTCAAATTTAGTTTTCTGTGTCAGTGTCACGTCAAGGTAAGTTGAAGGTCTGATTGTAACTTGATATGGTAGTTTATTTTAGTTCTAATTATGTAAATAGATAGAAAAAGAAAAAAAAAAATGAATAACAGCCATTTTATTTTATTTTTATCGTTTTCTTCTTTCAAAAGAATTATAAAAAAAAAATCATTTTTTTTTTTTTTAAAGAAGGTGACAACATTGTTGTTACTGCCCCCTTTTATATGAACTGTCGTCCCTTGGCAGTTTATAGTTGTATTTTTTTTGTTATTATTGATGTTTAGACTCTATTAGAGAAAACAATTTTAAAAAGAAATTTATTTATAACTGGCATTATTCTTAAAAATTTAATTCAATTCCTTAAAAAAGATATCAATTAATTTAACAAAAAATCTTTGTTTTTTTTTTTTAAATACTTTGGATTAATTCAATTATTTACAAAAATATTGAAATTTTTCACAGAGATTCCATTTTTTAAAAAAAATATTTTAATAAAATTCTTGAACAGAAATCTATTATTTTAATTAAAAAAATTTTAATTAAAAAAATTTTTTTTTTAAATATTTCGATTATTATTTTAGATTTAATATTTAATTTAATTTAATTTATATTTTTTTTTTTTTAGTAAATTTTTTTTTAAAAGTTTTTGTATATTATATTTTTTTTTAAATAAATTTTATTTTTATGAGTATGTATATATGTATTTCATTTTTGATGGGTTATTTTTGTTTTATGTATAGGTGAAGGAAAATTTGCTTGTGTTTAATGTAAGATGAGTACATTTTTCCTGTCTTTGGTTTAAAATCTTCAATTTCTCTTTCTAATGATTTTGATAATGCTGATTTGTGCTTTTGGCTGGTCGATGTGGTGTCTTTTCTCGTACTTTGTCAGTTTCTTAGAGTCTTCCGTTTGGTGTAGTTGTTTTATTTTTTATTCGATTCGGTTTTAGTGATTTGTTGTGGTTTGTTTATTTAAAAAAAAAAAATAAACCAAAATAATACAATGGCTTCTTTCGATTTATCCGTAATGAATGAAGTTTTGAGTTACGTGGAACGTGGGGTTACGAGTAAGGAGAGTTTTTTGTTGCTGAAGTTATCTGAAATTGAGGAAGCTGAACGTGAATCTTTCGCGAGAGGAGAGAGGGGGTGAGTTTTAAGAAAATTTTATTTTATGGGTGTTTATAATGTGAGATTGTGTGTTTTTTTTTGTTTCGTGTTTATGTGAAAAAAAATGTTTTTAGAGTGCGTGTGGTTGTATCTTCGTGGGAGGACGCCGAACTAAGGGAGGGAACAGGGCCTTGGCCTCTTATGACCTCCAGATGTTATCCCGAGAGTGCCCCTTATGATGATGCTGTATGGCATCAGGAGTATAGGTGGTCTTGGGAGTTCAAAAAATATGAGTCCCGTTATTATTGGGCTCCGGATACGTACAAGACTCCCACTTCCACTTCTGTGTCCAAAGAAGAATTGATGGAGGAAATTATAGGTATTTTGGGCGTCAACGCTTGTTGTAGGTGAGTGATTTTATTTTGTTGTTTTCCCCTTTTTTTTTTTTAATAAAAAAAAAACTACTAAAATTATTTTTTTTAATGGAGGAAAGTCTTATTTGTTTTGTTCCCTTTTTGTTATAGGAGCTATATGTTTTTACCTAATGATCCTCCTAGGCTTGGGTTTCGCCCCAAAAACTCTGCGTTAGAGCTCGTTTTCGTGCAACGTTATAAATTGGAGTGGGAGGAAATGATATTGGTCTCGAAAGCTTGGGATGTGGTAAGTGTGAGAATTGAAAATAATTAATTAGTTTTGTAATAGTGATTTCGGTGTGTGCTTGTTTGTTTTTCTGATGTTTTAATATTGGTTCTTGTTTTTATGTTTTAGCGCTGGAATCTTCCAGTCCAGAGTGTCTGGTATCCCTGCTAGCTTGTAGCATGTTTTCATTATATATTGAATATTTTATACTGGTGTTAATTTTGTATATTAATTTTGAAAAGAAAGTTGATTATAATTATTATTGTAGCTTTGTCGAGCAGGGGGGGAGGGGGTTGGTGGTTTTAATAAATTGACGGTTTCTTTCTTAAATGGTCTAATTATTTTCCCTTTTTTTTTTGTTTTATTGTTTTTAATGTTTTTTTTTTTTTATATAATTTTAATTTTTTATAGAAATTATGATTTTTAATTGTGTAATTTATTTTTTAGAAAGAAAATGAGAGAGAAAAAAAAATGTTGTAATATGAAAGTAAAATGTTATTTTATTATTTCTATTTTTATATAAGTGGTTTTTTTTTATTGGTAAAAAAAGGAAAAAAAAAAATATCTTTTCTGAATAATTTTTAGTTATTCGAATTTTTTTTATTTAAGTAAGAAAAAATTTTAAAATATATTATGCAGTGTTAAAAGGGAATTATGAAGAATAAAGAAGAAAAGTAAAAAAAAACGTCAGCGTTTTGTGGTAAGGTGTAGTCTCTTTTATTCTCTCTCCGTGCCTGTGTGATATGAGGTTGTTTGACAGTCTCTCTCGTGCATCGGCATATTCTAGTTTGTTTGTGGTTAGAAGTGTATGTTTAGAATAAAATTTTTTGATCTTGTTATGTGTTTTTTTTTGTGATTGTGTGTGTGTGTTTTTTTTTTAAATATTAAAATAAAAGATATTAATTGGAGGTTTGTTCCTATTAGTGTTATTTTTCTGCTCTTGGATTAGTTCCTGTTTTTTTTTTTATCCAATGTGAGTAAAATTTTTCTTTCTTTTAATGTTTATTTATATTTTTAAATTATCGAAAATTATTATTTTGTTGTGATAAAAATAAATGAAAATAAAATTTTGGAATTAATTTTAAAGAAATAGTGTTACTAATAAAATGATTATGTAGAAATATCCGTGTGTCGTGACCGTCCTTGGTCTTGAAACACTATTCCGTTTTTGTCAGCATTTTCTTACTTTCATTAAATGACTTTATGTTATTTTGTGTTCAAATTTTTCTTTCTTTTGTATTTTATGAATGTATTTTTTTTTATTATTATTTGATGTTTTTATTTATATATTTAAAAAAAATTGCGTTCATAATATGTTTTATTATTTTATTTTAAGTTTAAGGAGGTTTCCATCTCCAAGTTTGTTTAATTTCTCGTCAAAATTTTAATTTTCTTTAAAGATATTAAAATTCTTCTCCAAAATTCAGTTATTTTCAAAAAATCTAAAAAAAAAAAATGGTCAACATCTTATAATTATCTTTATAAATAAATAGTAAAATTCTTCGACAAAATTCAATTAATTTCAAAAATTTTAATGAAATCCATTGCAAAATATGAATTTTTAAAAGTAATAATACTCTTCACAAAAATTAAATATTGTTCAATCTACTACTATTTTCATAAAATTTGTCGAAAGAATTTAATTGTATAAAAAAAAGATTAATAAAATTCTACAAAAATCCTTAATTATTTTCAAAAAATAATAAAAATTTCACAAGAATTTCATTAATTTAAAAAAAAAAAATTTTATCGAATTCCTCGAAAAAATTTTTCAATAAATTACTAATTTTTATATTTAAATAATTGAATTGTCGTAAAATTTTCTCATAAACATTAATTTAAAAATAGATTTCAGTTAAAATCTCAGATTACAACAACTGAATTCTTTCGAAGAATTTCGTTAAAACCTTTTTTTTTAAAAAAACAATTCAATTTTATCGAGACATTTTATCAAAATTGTCCCAAAAATAATTGAATTTCTACCAAAAAAAAAAAAAAATTTTATCAAAAGTTTTTAAAATGTTTGAATTTCTGTTAAAATTCTGATATTCTTTTTTTTTTTTAAAAAAAAAAAAAAAAAAAAAATAATTGAATTCAATTACTTTTAATACAGTTCTAATCGAATTTCTCGAAGAATGTGATTATTCTTAAAAATTGTATTAAAATTTGTTCATATGATTCAATTATTTGAAAATTTGTTGATAATGATTTTTATGGGAATTTCATTTTAAGAAGCGTTCAATTATTCAATAAATTATTTATTTGCTTTATGTTTGTATTTTTTATAACTGAATTATAATAATAAAATAATAAAAATTGATTTTCATTTTATAAAATGAATTTCAGTTAAAATTTTATAGATAATAATTGAATATTAAATGCAATAGAGCATTATTTTTATAGTTTCTATTTTCTAATATTTATTCGATTAAAGAATTTAGGAACAATTGAAATTTCGTAAAATTGAATTTTGTAAACAAATGAATTTGAAAATTGTCAAAGAACTTTTTCGAAGATTATTTTTTAAAAAAAATCGATATAAAAAAAAGAATTTTAGATAAAAATTCTTAAAGTGATTATTGAATTCTTTATGATTTTAATTATTATAAATTATTTTTATTAATTATTATGAAACATGTAGAAATCGATGACTTTGAGTCGAAGACTCGGGAGTTATCGATTTTTTTCATGTTTTATAGTTATGAAAAATTATTGAATTTCTAGTTTTAAGGAAAATGTTCTCTTATGTGATTAGGCCTGATTCTATTTGTGTCAGTTGGTCCGTAAATGGTCTGTAATTTTTAATTTTTGTTCCATAAAGTCCGTATTTACTATTTTTAAATACTTGAATTTTGGCTGAGAATTTAAATTAAATTTTTGAAAATACTGAATAATAATAATATTTTTTTTTTAAAAAAAAATTCGTTCATTATGAAAAATGTTAAAATACAAGAATAAATGCTTAATTCAATTCAGCGCATGCATTTCTTAGTTAGTATATCTATATATGTGAGTCACTATATAGGTATACTGGACGTATAGTTCTCCTTAGTTGCTCTCCTCTTTCTTCTGTTCGTAGGCGCCCCGCATGCTCCGCGACTACCCCGAAGCAATGCGTTGCCCTATATGCCTGTTTTCCTTCTCTTTACTTTTATCCGCTCCCCGGCGTTTCACCACCACTTCAAGCTTCCACAAGCTTACATCCATGCATGGCAATGTTTTTTTTTAGGTTTAAAATTATCGTTTAAAAAGGAAATACTGCCAGAATTTTTATCTCTTTGATTGTGAAATAATATTCCGACTAATAAAAAAAAATTTTTTTTTTTTAAATTTTGTTAATGTTTGCTAATAAATTATCAGAACTAAGTGGTATAGCATTTGAAGCGTGTCATTTATTTATTTATTTATTTTTTTTTTTTGCAGTATTTACCTCTTATGAAACATTTTATTTGGATTAATTTGATAAAAAATGCTCATTGTTCAGCATTATTTAATGCTATAAATTTTAAGCAGGGTTGCAAATGATTTTTTTTTATTTATGAATGCCCTTACTTTTTAATTTGTCTGAGAGAGAGAAAAGAGAAAAAAAAAATATCCTTCGTGAATTTATTAATTTTGTTAGTTTGTTTGCAGGTTATTTATGTTTGTTGTTTTATTTTTATTATTATTATTTTTTTTTTTATATTACAAAGACTGAAGCTGCCCTTTTGTGTTTATAATTTTTTGGTAAGTGTTGTTTTAATTTTTTTGTTAATGTTTATTAAATTTCCCTTTTTTTTTTTTTAACCATGGCTCTTTTTTTAGGTAATTTGCAAGTTTTATGAAAGGGATATATAAAAAAATGTTTTATAAAAGCGGAGTAATTCTAGGGCATTTTGCTGTCTTTTCTAGTGTTTTATTTAATTTGTAAGTATGTTTTCAATGTTTGTTTTCTTTGGTTTTAAATCCTTTATTAACCATGGCTCTTTTTTTAGCTCTTTCAAAGTTGGTTGGTGGTTCCTGTACTCTAGCTTGAGGAGGATTTTAATTTCATCTACGAAGCGAAAAAAAAATGTTTTGTGTGCTTATCTTATTAAATGGGGGTTGATGCTTTTCGGATTATCTTTACTTGGGTGAGTTTTTTTTTTTAACATTGTTATTTTTGTATTGTTATTTATGTATGTTTTATTGATTTTCTTTTTTTTTTTAGGTACCCTGTGCCTCCCTTTTTGATGAATATATATATATATATTTTTTTTAATAATGAATTTCTTAAAATATATTATACGAAAAAAAAAAAAATGATAAATAAGAGTACATTAAAGTGTTAAGTAAAGAACAAAATCGTGTTATTCAAGAATTTTGTGTTTAATATTATCTTTCTTATTCTAACATTATTTATATGGTATTTGTAAAAGGTGTTTTTTTTTGTTTTGTTTTATTCTATATGTAAGTGTTTTATAAATTTATTAATTAATATTTTATTCTTATTTAATTTATTATTAATTGTTAATTACTATGATTGATATTAATATAGATTTTTTTTTAAATTTTTTTTGTTTTTTATTTCCCATTTTACCCAAAACTAAAACTATTTCTACTGGAGTTGGAGTTCGCTTTCGAGGGGGAATTTGGAGACTCATCAAGTTGACCAACAACAGATGAGGCTTTTCTTAAGGCCCTTTTCCCGGAGTTTTGGATGTCTCATTTGCTTCTACTCAGAAAAACTTTCTTAGGAGTGGATACAACATGTTGTAGTGAGAGAATGTTTCTCACCAACATTTTTTTTTTTTACATTTTAAAATGGTTTTTTTTTTTTAAATTAAATCTACAGATCATTATTGCATCTATATATGTATGTGTATGTATTTCATGCATACTTATATTTATATATATGTTAGTAATGGATTATTAATATTGGAGGTAATTATATTGTAGTAATTGTTAGGTTTATTAGTTGCCAGTTGTTTCTTATCTACGTAATTTTTAATTGGTTTAGTGTTAGTGTTATTTTTTCTTCTTTTTTTAGCTTTTTGGTTATTATAAGTTTTTTTTTTACAAGTTAATATTATATACATTTTTTTTAAAAAATCGGTCTGCTTTTTGTTTAGGCTATGTCTACGTATTTAATTTTGGGTGTTTCTGTATATTGTAATTTGGAGATAGGGTTTTCTCGTATCGTTTTTTCTTTTCGTACAGTGCTGCTGGTTGTGGGTTGGTTATCTTCTTGTCGTTCGTTTCGTTGTAGGATTTCTTGTTCAATGGTTGGAGGGGATAGGCATGTTTTTTGGTTTGTTATAAAATTGGTAGTATTTTGGTTGTTGGGTCTTTGTTGTAAGGGGCTGGACGGTATTGCGTACATTTGTTGCGTCTCTGTCTCGTTGCTTCTTCTTCTTCTTCTTATGCAGCATAGAGGTTTTATATGGCTTTTTATGCAATGTTTTATGGTCAAATAGATTATGATTATTATTATTACTGTTGACAAAGTTCCTATTATAGAGTTGGTGTATTGATATTGCTCTTTTTTTCCTAGTGTATGTATACTTTGAATTTCTAGTCCTTTCTCTATTTCTTGTAATTTCTCGTCAGTTTCCATTTTTCTCCAAATTGGTCGCACTTCGTTTGATGTTGTTGTCTCTTTTTTAGGATTCAATGTTTTTAGGATTGGTGAAATTTCTTCTAGTTTTAATTCTATTTTTGGTGCATAAATATATTCTTGAGGATTGTTTATTATTTGCAGTGTAGGTAATCTTATCGTGTCCGTTTTTAAGGTGCATTTCGGTGATAATTTAATAATTCCTATTCCATTCAGTTGAAAAGTATTGACCTTCGTTTTGGGGCATATTAAATATGCAGTTTCTTCTTTAGTTAGTGAATATAACCAATTTCCTGTTGTTATTAAAGGTTCCCACAGTGGTTGTTGATTGTTTGTGATTCGGATGTCACAACTTCTTAAAGTGTTATTTTTAGGTTCCCTTAGTAGTTCTGATTCACAACTTGGTGCCAAAATAATGTCATAAATTCCTTGTGTTGGGTAACATACATATCTTCCTTCTACTAATTGGCACGTTCTCAGTTGTTCTTCTTCTAAATAAAAGTAATGTCTTCCCTCTACACTGGTGGCTAAGTACTTGGAGTGAGGTGTAATATACGCTCTGTTCCCTTTTGTTCCTATAGATTGTAGTACTGGCAATTCAGGCATCTTATATAGTAAATATTTTTCTTTCTCTAAGAGAGGGATATCTAGTGTTATGAATAAATTTTCTTCTTTTGCTTGTATTCCTATTTTTGATATCTCTGTAATTGTTGCTACATTTAAGTTGTCTATATGCATGGGATATTCCTGGTTTTCTAAAAATTTATGTGCTTCGGTTGCTATTGTTTTTATCTGTTCGTTGTTTAATAATTTTGGATGTAATTTTCCTTCTATAGCTTTGAATATAACGTTTAAAGTTTCTTCTAATCCGTGCTTATAAGTTTCTATTTGTTCATTCCATTGTTTTGATGTTTTTTGTAACTGTAGCATGAAATCTGTGGTGGTTAATTTAGATTTTACATCAAGTATTTCTTCTTCGAGTTTATAGAGTCTTTTTCTTTCTTCTTCTGATTTGTTATGTTGTTGTTGTGCTAAATCATATAAATTTTGTAAATCTGCTCGTACTAAATGAGTTTGTTCTCCTACTAGATGTGATATGTTTTTCTGTGCCTCGTTTAATTCTGTGAAGAGTTGTTCGTATCTTTCCCCATCGTCATAAGTTAATATTCCTATGGTTGGTCCTGCAATTTTTCCTATGAAACCTACTAATGGAGTGTTTCGTTTCTTTCTACTTTGAAATCTAATTGTCTGTTCTGTTGTTGGTTGCTGTTTTAATTCGTTTATGAGATTTAATAATTGCTCTCGGAGTAACTTGGCTACTGTAATTTCTTTATTTAACATCTGATATTCTAAAAATTCTTCACAACTCATTTTCATTATTTTTTGACATTCTGTTTCTATCTTTTTATATTCTATTTCCAAATCAGGTAAATGTTTTTTAAATGTGTCTGTGTCCAATAGGATTATGGTTCTCCATGTTCCTGATATTCGTTGTAGATTCGGCATAAGTTCATAAAATAGTCCCGTATTTTTATTTAAGCTTGTTATTGAAATAAAAGGGTTTATCTCATTTGCTCGTATAACTTCCATCATTCCTAGTATTACGATGCATATTCTAAAATAGTTCTCCATTTCTGTAACCAAAATTTAATTATGTGTTTAGTTTTCTTTATATATATTTTTTTTAGTTTCTATCGCTAGTTTAGCTAATCTATCTGCTTCTTCGTTTCCTATTATTCCACTATGTCCTGGCTCGTATATTAATTCTACTTCTAGGTTATTTATACTATTTTTCATTTTTATGAAGTCCTTTTTACTTATGACTTCTTGTTTTCGGCATGTTTTCCAACCGTTGTTTTCCCATTTCGGTAACCACTCTTTTATCCCATATATTACAAACTTAGAGTCGGTGTGTATCCTAATTTTCTTGTATTTTAAGTTTTTTAAAATGTCTATGGCTTTTATTATGGCCTCTAATTCGGCACTATTATTAGTTTGCCTATTATATGCTTTGTCACTGACATTTAAGGGATGTTCTTGGTTAAACCAGATTCCTATTCCAGCTTGTGCATTTGGTTTACCATTTGCCTTACAAGCTCCATCAGTGTACACATGTACATAATCGTCTTTGTCTATTCTTAATCCTCTTTTATCATTCTGTCAGGAGTATGCCTTCTTGACCTGATCCTTGTGCTTTCGGAATCTCCTCTTTTCCGCGTCGCTTAGTATCAAATTATTCTTTTCTGTAATCCCTACTACTTCATATGGTCCGTGGTAATATGGGGAGAATTTACCAGCTCTTACTTCTTCTTTTACGTCTACTAAGTCTCCTATTTTTACGTCCAAGGGTTTTGTTTTGCTATTTAATTTTTCTCTGACTTTTTCTTTTGACTGGATCAGATTTTTAGCTACCATTCTTCGGATTTCAATTAGTCGTATTACTAATTCTTTCAAATAGGATTCGTATGTTTCCATTTCTTTCTCTGTCGGAAAAATGGAAGGGGTGCGAGCAGTTTTCCCAAAAACTACTTCGTGAGGGGTGAACTTTGTAGCTTCGTGGACGGAAGTGTTATAGGCAAACATAGCGTAGGGCAATAATCGATCCCAGTCGTCGAAGGCTTCTGCATAGTGTCTGATGAATTCTGCTAGTACGGCGTGACTGCGTTCCAGTGCGCCGTTAGTTTGTGGCCTATATGCTGTAGTAGTGACTTGGGCTACTTTAAATAACTTTGCTAGTCTTCTTAACAAGTTGCTAGTGAATGACCTTCCTTGGTCTGTTAAGATACATTTTGGTGCTCCATAAACGGAAATTAGGTTAGTAGCTAATGCGTTTGCTATCGTTGTAGCATTTATATCTGGTATTGCTACGAAAATGCAATATTTACTTAATTGATCTTGCATGGTCAGAATGTGACAGTTTCCATTAGCGGTAGTGGGGAGTTTTCCTACTGTATCTAGGGAAACTTTGTCCCATGCATCCAATGGTGTATCCGTTATGACCATGGTTTCTTTATTTTTTGTTCTAACAATTTTCTTCTCTGCACAACTTCTGCATTTTCTTATGTAATCTGTAATATCTTGTCTTAAACCTGGCCATGTGAATTTTTCTCGGATCCTTCGATACGTTTTGTTGACTCCTTTGTGTCCTGCTATCAAACTATCGTGGTATTCAGCGATTATTTTTGCTCTAACTTCTTCTGGGGGAATGATTGTTTTTCCGTGACATACGGTAATCTTAATATCTGCTTTTAGAAAGACTTTTGCTAGTTGTTCTATCCAATTGAAATCTGATTCTTCTAACATTTCGACGTGCCTAGGTACGCGTATTTGTTTTATATTGTCTTTTTGAAGGATGTTTTTCAGGTTGATCAATGCGTTCACCAACTTACTTTTACTCACGGTGTCATCGTAATGTTGGGTAGTTATCACTGTATAAACTTTGTTTTTTCCAAACTCGGTGACCAATATTTGTCCCTTTTTTGGTTTCTTTGATTTCATTTCTAACAGATCGATTGCTCCTATGGCTATCAATAACTTGGTTGT